CCAGATTGGTTCCATTCAGAAATGGGGTTAATATAAAAAAAGGACCCAGATTTCTTTTAAAAAAAAAGCACAAACTAAAATTTTTAGAACTTGGGGGCCAAGAGTTGTAATTTTCACATGCCATAGCTCAACGCGGATTTGGTTTGTCTCCTGGTGCCTCCTTCCTGCACTTACATGAGCAGGTCTCTGTCCACGAATATGGACAAATAACAAGGGCACATTTGGAGCCAAACATGCATGATATATCTATTTTAAGTACACGAGTTGGACAGAAAATCAAAAATAGAGAAGGAGAGGAAGAAGAGAAACGAGTAGGCCATGCTAGGGCAATGATTTTCGACTAGCTGGGGGGTGTTTTGAGGCTGCAAAACATTCAAGTAAGTGTTCTAGCTTGATTTCCTCTCTCCTCCTACATTTTTTTTTTCAGATTTTGATTGGGTGAAGGATTGGGATTTTGGAGATTTTGGTTTGGGGACGTTTCCATCTAACAAAATGGGTTTAAATGTGTTTATAAACTTAGGTGAAGTGTTTTATAGGTTTAGATTCATCGAAAAAAATGTTCTAGTGGGAAGAACATAACCCTAAATCTAAACGTGCTTGGGTTTAATGGTTTTGGGCTTGGTCCTTTGGACATTATCACTAACATAGATGACATGTGTGTTTACAGGGAGGAGTGATGATCATATGAATTAAGTAAAGAGATTTTTACACAATCCATGTTTGGTATCTACGAATCTTGATGTTGGAAACGGAGTTGGAAAAGAATTCCTTTTAGAGACAAGTTTGGTACACTCGATCATGCATTCCCAAGAATCCCAATTCTGACAAACTAGGCCGAATTTGATTCCAAGGCTATACCCAAAGAATCCAATTCTTTCTGCCTCATTATCACTTTATCCTCAACTTGCATATCACTTCTATCTTGTTGATGGAGAAATCAGACAATGTACGCTGGAGAGTTTGCAACGTTCAGGTTTAGCTGTAAATGCTATCAGATAGCGTTATGGTATCGGCTTCGATGGTGGGTGAGAAAGTGCAGATTTTGTTAACGAACAAGTCATTGAAACCTGAATCAAAGGTCCAAATGCATGATGCATCTAATATATATATATATATATATATATGTTGCCCTGAAACTTGAATCAATTGGCTTATGCAATTGCTTTCCCCTCCCTTCCTTCTTCATCCTCTCCATTTGCACTTTGAAAATTCATTTGGTTGTGACTGTACGATTGAGATTTCTGAAACTATTGGCCTTAAGAAGGCCATTCCTTCATTGAGTCTTGGACTATGAAGATGTTTTACCTTGCTCATGCTTGTTCTCGAAACCCATAACTTATGAACAGGTTCCTCATGCTCATTCTTATTCTCATGTCGGCATTTTGGTCTATTGCCGAGAAGGAAAGGGATAGACTAGAGCCTCCCTATTTTTTGAAAAGGGCATTTTTGTCTTTTCTCTATTTTAAATACATATATTTATTAAAATTATATCATTATAAGGATTCCATCCCTATACGAAATATATTTTTATAACTAAATTCTATTTCAATTTCAATTTCAATTCCATCAAAACTCTTCTATTATACTAAATGAGGCCTAAGTTCAATATCAAGGAACTTGGCACATTGAAATATTTCATGGGGATAGAGGTAGCACATTATCCAAAGGACTGGTCTTAAATCAACGCATGTATCCACTTGATATCCTTAGAAACAACATGTTGGCATGCAAACTAAGTAGTTTTCCTATTTGTTGACTTAGCAAAGATGAAGAAAAACCATGTGTAGAACAAGGATAATATAGAAGGTTGTGCCATGGTCTAAATTGAACCTGAAAACCCACACACACACACACAAATAGATAAAGCAAGGGAAAAAGAGAACATACAGCAGAGAAAGAGAATTACAAAATCAGAAAGAAGGGGAAGGGAAGAAATACAGAGGGATTAGAAGGAAAGAATACATCAGAAAGAAAAGATTACTCAAATCATCCACACCCTGCTCATTCATCGTCCCCTCATATATAGCCATGGGTTCAAGTTTATAATTCTCTCTCATTTCAGTTATTTGTAACAGCATTATGCAAAGCAGCATAGACACTACCGGCACTACTACTCTTCTTGAATATCCCAAGCCACGTGTCCTTCTTGGGTCCCGCCAATATTTGGAAGATTCATGACAGGTTGCTTGGCTAACTACAATATAATTTAGAGCTGAAAAATTTGAACGGATAGGGCCTATTTGGGCTTCGCCCGAATAAGCTTGACTCTATGAAAAATCTAAATAATCAAGCTTGGCTTGAAAACTTAAATTTTATTTTTAAAATTATTTTTAATTCAATTTTATACTTTAAAATTAAATTTTATATTATAAAAAATATAAAAATACTCAAATATATGGTATTTTAGTATAAAATGACTAAAACTTAAAGAATTAATTAATATTTATTATATATATATATATATATATATTATTTGGGTATTTAGGCCAAACCTGAACCCCAATTGAGCTTAGTCCAAACATAAAAAATATCTTTTTTTTTTATGTCCGGCCCTAAAAGTTTTTGGGCGGGTTCAGGCTTAGCCTGAATTACCGGCTCTAACATATATGTCAACTACTTGAGAAGGATGACTTTAGCTGGGTCCAATTACAATTTATAGGAAGCATTACTCACATAAACTTCGGGCAGCACAACGAAATGCTGCATCTGTATTTTGTAGTAATCAAGTGTCTGTACCCATTGCCAATAATCTGGCATTCCGCAAGAGAATCAAGCACGTAGAAACGTTGTTTGGGAATAGAGTTCAATCAAAGGAAATCACACCAACGAAATTATATTGTGGACAAGAAATTAGATATTTGACATGCTCAAGCAAGTTGGGTATTATCAATCCCCATGTACCAACTTGAGAGAGTGAAGACAATATTTAATTTGTTTTCATTTTCAATCATTTTTTATTTTCATTTGTAAATAATATATGTATGTATCTGTAAATATAATAGATATTAGGATATCGAGGGTTACACAGACAGAGAAATCACGCGAATATATATGCTTAAAACCCCATTGTATATATACATGTACATATTATATGAATAAGATTGAGACAATTTTTCCTCCCTTCTTTGTACACAGCACATAATTTGTAGGGAGAATCAGAGAAATTAGCACCTAAGGCTCAAGACATTTTGAATTTATTCTATAGGCCCAAATGCCTTACATGCAAATATGTTTTTTTAGTGAAAAGATACATTTGCCCCTCATTTGAAAAAATAACATGGTGCGCAATACATTGTATTGTTAATGTATGGAGTTTGTCATGTTATATATAGATATTTTGTTATTCATACACAAATAAACTTATATATTATTGTTCAACTACACTACACAGACTATGTATAATAAACAGACATTGAGTTGTTAATGTATAGACTTTATCATATCATATACGGACATTTTCTTCTGCATGCACATAGAAAACTTGTACATTTCAAATGAAGAGTAAATGAGTCTTCTTATTAGAAAATATAATTGCATATAAGGCATTTGAGCTCATAAAATTATTGAGCCTCAAGTGCAAGTTTCTTTTATTTGGGAGCCTTAGGTTCTATTCTTCATAACTTATATATGTCCACCTCAAGTGAATCCATCCATCTCTCATCTCAAAACCAGCTATGTTTAGTTGGATGGCCTCTTTTAATTGCTTCAACCCTCATCATTCCTAATGTTTTTTGTCAGTCAACAACAATTCAATAGTCCCCAATTTAGCAAACATGCATAATTTTACACACAGACGCACGCACAGAGTAACCATCATTTCATCTTTCATGATTATGGTCCAAAATGATATTTTAAATTAATTAAAAGTAATCTAATCGTAGAAAAATAAAAAATTGTAAACTGTACTCAAATATTTACTTCAATATATATACAATGTAAAATTAAAATCATATGCAAATATTTATTTACTTTTTATTGATATGACATCGATTTAAAAATAAATACCCTATCATCTATCATTGATTAATATATGGTTAATTGAGAATTTAAAATTAGCAACTTGACCTTTCATAGAATAACTGTATAAATCAACCAAATCTTGGTGATTGGCTGAGTCGAGGTATTATTTAGGATATTCTTGCTCTCATGACAAACAATGCTGGGTTTTCTGTAGCCTTCACGCCACGTGAAGGAAACTGTGTAGCTGACTTTGTGGCAGCGTTAGTTTCCAAGGAGGTGAGTCCGATAGGATGAGTGTCTTCACCATCACTTCCTTTTGTAATCTTCCAGCAAAGGATGTCATTAGAAGTTTGCACTATTCGATTGTGGCCTCTGCTTCAAATGTCTCGGAGGACGGTGTCTGATTTTTTTTTTTTTTCCTTTGTAGCTGTTATTTTTGGCTTTGCTGTTTCTGTTTTTCGGATTATTGCTTCTTGTTGCTGTCTTGTTGCTTTCTTCCGTTTCTGTTTTCTCGTTTTGTACTTCTGGTTTTATCCCTTTGGAATGAATTTCTTACAGTTGGCCAAAAAAAGAATAAATGTATAAAGAACAAACTTTTTGCGTGGATGACTTGTTCTTCATATCAGCTTGAGGTTAAGAATTCACAAAAGTTTGAAGATATATTTATTTTATATCAGGCTCCCATATGATTTTTTTATTGAAAAATAAATCTAAGGGAGCAGAGAGATTTCACTTAGTTTTGGTTGTCAACAATTATTTGGGCGTTCACATAGTTTTGTTAAAATTATTTAAAATTTGCATTTTCAAAACCTAATTTTAATTTATGTCATTCAGTCAATACTTTAGTTAGAGGTACCCTTCTATAAGAGATAATCATGTTCGAGATATGATCAGGTACTAAATGTAAGTATATCTTCCAATGAGGATGTTGTGACTGAATCATATATAATTAAATTATTTTTATTCCAATAACTTATAAATAACAGTTTGTATATTAAAAAAAATTAACAATAGAGTTTTTAATTTTGTTAAACTTGTGTAATAATTTTATTATACATAATAATTTTTTATTTGGTATTTAAAAATGACATGAAAAAAGTTACTTATAGATAATATAGATTTATTTCATCATAAAACACACAAAGCATTTTGCACACATCTCGGCCATAAGCTTCTTCATCACAACACACGGAGTTTTCTTTGTGCCTAACGTCGAAGATAGTGGTGATCCCTAGGTACATCAGAGCGGGGAAATAATTTGCCTGCATTTTTTTTTTATTCCATTCAAGCTAAGGGTCAGCTTCAATATAATCAAAATAAAAAAATTAAATATGTAAACACACCTTTACGAATGAATGTTTGTATGTAGCTGAAAAATGAGCAAAATCATTAGGGAAATTAAAAAAATAATACTACCTCTGTTCTAAGTTAAAAGACACTTTTCAAGAAGATTTAGTACCCTAAAATATAAGACACTTTGATAAAAATAAAATTTTATTAACAAAATTTTTACAATATTACTCTTCTCATATATTTTCTCTTCTTAATATTTTTTTAACAAATAGAGTATTAAATAAAAGGTATTTTGAAAGTTTGTATTTTTATTTTTAAAAAGTAAGGTCATAAAGTATATTTAATAAACTTTATTAGTATGTGTGATTTTATTTAAAAATGAGTTATAATTTGGGACAGAGAGAGTACAATATTTAAATTTGCGGATGTGTATGACATTTGTCCAATCAATGATTTCCAAATTTGTAACCAAAAACATGAAATACAAATATATCAAAAAAGAAGAAAGAAAAATGAAAATTAGTAAGTAGAGTATATCTAGCATTTTTATATTTCCAATTTTGAAATCGTTTCAATGGGTTTGAATTAGTTTTTAAATTCAATAGAAGCATCTAAAACCTGAACCCATATTGAAGAAAACTAAAGGGGGCCAGGCATTTTGCTGGAAATATTGTGGTTTTTTATATTTTAAATTAATGTTGATGATCATACTCACTTCTCTTTATTATTGCCCCTTGTGTTGCAAATAAGAACCCTTATATTGAATTTAATATGTTAATTTTGATAATTTTTTAAAAGTAAATTAAATTTAAAACATGGTTTCGAAATTGTGCTTCCTATAATATGCATCGATGGAGTAACATGAATTAGATTTAAGTACTAGATATCAAATAATCGTAAAGAAAAAATCCATAATAATTGAGATGTCAATTAATGTTTATAAAAACCTAATAATTGAAGAGATTGGTGAACATATACAAGCCTGAAAAATGATTTTAATTAAGAACTGAAATTTAAATTAATTTGAAAAAAATGTAGTTTCCCAATCACTTACGGGCGATGTAATGATCCGATCTCCAGATCACTGCAGGTTCCCGAGGTGCAACATTCCCAGAGAAGAGAAGAACAAACAGCAAAGCAATATTCAATATCAGTTTCTTCATATCGACGATCTTCTTCAATTGAAAAATCTCTATTAATAATGAATATTAAAAAAAAACTTTATTATGTGCTTCAATTCAACTGATATATGAGAACTAAGCACACTTCTGGTGATTGCTGGGTTATATACATACATATATATACATATTGTGATCAGGCAAAATAATATATGATGATGATGATGATGATGATGATGAATAAGAAGGTTTTAAAACAGTTTTACTGGACTGGCATCTTTGAATATAATCTTTAGTCAAACATGCGTATTGTCAGAACAAAACTAAGGAAACTAAAAAATTTGACTGTGACCTTTTCTTTTTAATTTAATTTCTTTCAAATCAACTATATGAAACTTTCAATTTGACATCAGCCAAATTAGTTCGACTTTTATTTGGCTAGGTTTATGTATTTCATGCTTGAGAGCGATTTTTAAGGGAAATTAAAATATTTATGGGTAACTATTTTCAAGTTATTCAACTATTATCTAGCATAGATTTTTAATACTATCCATGTATATATGTATAGGGAATGTATGTATGTAAGAATTTAAGCATATAAGACAGTAAATTCGTCAAGCAGGTTTAAATCATACAAAGTTCTCGATAATATTTTATTTCTCATACGTTGCATATAATTACTCGACTGTTATTCTTAATTTAGGGATAATAAGATACGAAAGCAAATTATTCAATAAATATATAATTGTAATTAAACAATACGATTAAGCAAACAAAGATTAATAATTGCTCTTGCTAAGTCAATGTATGGTATTTAATTCCTTTATTAAAATCAAACGAGTTTATATATCATTTAATCAGAAGACCAGCCAAACTTTTCTATGACGCCAATTAGCTAGGGATGAACAAGTCAAAAGCACATTAAATTTAATGGTAGGATTTAGTCAATTTTGAAGATGTCAACAGACTATTTCCAAAACAATATATTATCTCCCAAAGAGGTACCTACAAGTTACGAACAAGATTAAAGATTAGTTTGGATTAAAGATCAAACGAAAACAAAAAAAAATTGTTCAAGGTTATGAACAAGATAAAGTGCGTTTAGTTTTTAAAAATAAATAAAAATAAAAATGAATAATGTTTATCATATATTCATAAAAATTTATCATATTATAAAACATTTACATTATTTTCTTTTTTAAAAAATATTTTTGATGTATGACTTTTGGAAATCACCATGCACTCACACCATATATAAAACTCAAAGTGCGTTTAGTTTTGGATAATTATTCTATGCTTCGTTATATCTTCTTGGGCTTCAAAGACTTTTTTTTTTTATATAGAAGGCTTCGAAGATATTTTGAATATCAAAACGCTACACACACAAACTGTTGACAAAAGGCTACTATCCAAACCATAATATATGTCATTGTTAATTAATTTATGGTTTACAAAATTTGTGTACATCTTTTCATTTATACCCTTGAGTTTTCCTGGTTACATGTGGATAATTTTTAAATATGAAGCATTTAAAGACAATGAATTAAAAAAAAAAAGCAAGGGTATAAATGGGAAAAAATAAAACTTATCCAATACCCTATATTTTGGACCAAGGAGTGCTTCTAGAAAATGACTTATATTATAGTTTGGAGTGAGTGTATGTTTAATATACTCATATTACAATATAATACTTCCTTCACCCCAAATTATAAAACAATTTAAATAAAATTATGTATATCAATAAAACTAAATAATGACACTTTAAAAACTTACTTTTCCAAAAATACCATTCATTTATTATAACTTTAAATCAACATCATTTCAATTTTCTCTCCACCTGAAGGTAATATTATAAAAGTATCATTTAAATTCATATTACCAATATATATTGAATATTAATGATATTATTAATTAACTGACTTTTTTATTTTGAAATGTTTCTATTTTGTTTGTAACTGACGCAGAAAATTATCATGTTTTTAATTTTAATTTGGTATCTTCTAAATGTTAACTAAAAACGAATTAAATTTCACCAAAAAAATAAAATTAATTAAATAGTAAATTTAAAAGGTTAAAAAATTTTACATTGGTTTTGTGAAAAACGATGTAATATTATCAATTTATTTATGATTATGCTTCGGTCAATTTTACAGGATCACAAAGGCCGTAAAGTTCTTGATACGTGTTCATGCGTTGATTCAGCATTTACAAGTATGTTAAACTTAGTATTTATAAGTGAAGGAGACTTGTAAGTAATTAGTTTCTTTATCTGGAATTTATATGTAATGCGCTCTCTCTCTCTCTCTCTTTCTTTTTTGATTGTACATGTCTTTCTCTTGAAGACAATTATATTTGAGAGACGGTCAAGGAACTCTTTCTGCAGGCCGTGGATTTGAATTTTTGTTTACTACATTGTGAAAGGCTAGCCTTTTCTACTAGACCTAATTTGTATTTGTATTGTGGGAAGATGGTAAAGCTCTCCCACCAAATATTTAACAATTGCATTCACATGATTATCTGGTCCCCAAAAAAAAAAGATTCACATGATTCGAAAATCAGAACCTGTTATTAAGCTAATACAATCTCTGATCGGTTGACCCAAGTGCTTGATTGTAAAAGTTATCAGAATATTTGAATGTGCGCGTACCAATAAAAGTTACAATTAAGCTAACGTAATATTAAAGGTTGAATGATTTTTTAAAAAAAAAATTGCCCAAGTTTTCAACCAAAAATTCATGATTTTCTACTTTTCTTTCATTTGTTCTGATAGAAAAATAAAATAAAAATACGCTTGTTTGACTAAATTATAAACTTTCGACGTTGTTCACACTCTCAATTGCGAGTTATTCATTGTCCAAAACAATTGGGAAAAAATTACCCAACTAAATCATTCATGTACCTATCTAACTAGAAAATTACCAATTTATTTTTCATTTGTCTGTCTCTAATAGTTGTTGAATTTGCATTCAGTACTTGTTAGTCAATGAGCTTAAAGAAAATTAAAGAGAAAGAATATGATAGGAAGAGTAATATTTTAAAAAATTATCAATGAAACATTATTTTTGTCAAAGTGCCTTGTATTTTAATATGGCAAATCTCCACCAAAATTTCTTATAAAATGGGAATGAAGTGAGTATTTCATAACAACATGCAGAATTATAAATTATTAAATAATTGTGTGTTCTTATGTTATAGTTATAAAAAAATATCACAAAATATTAAATAATTTTTTGTACTGTAGAAAGAACAGTAATTTCACGGTACATAGAACAGTAATTTGGACGGAATTTACAAAAGGTAAGATTCTAGATTTGAGAATATAAGCTAACCCATTTAAAATGGACTGGCTAGAATTAGCAAGAAGAAAAGCAAAAGTCGAAAGCAATACAAAATCAAACAGCTAATTAAAGATCCAGAACAAACTTTCAGATCTAGATATAGAGAAATTGAAATAAAAAAAAATCCAAAACCAAAAGAAAATACAGAAAATTAAAGCCAAAGTTCGAACGGCTTAGAAGATGAACAAGGAGGAAAGATAGGTAATGAATGGGCTTAATAGAGAGCAATATTTAAATGGGCTCATCAAGTAGGTTGGATTCAAGGAGGGCATTGAAATGAGAACATAAAACAGAAGCGAAGTGATGGCATGTATTGGCAGTGAATATTATTGTGAATCCTCCCTATGGATTTCTTCTTCTTTTTTTCTTTTGACCCTATCCCTATTACTTTGAATTCATGATACAAATTGTTACGGTATATGAGATGATATTTTTGGAGTATATTTGTATGTATTGAGTCTGGTTTTAGTTTACATATAGGCTATGTTTGGATAACACCTCAACTGAGACTTGAATGAGCGAAACCTCAACTAGGGTGTTAATTAAAGTCCACTAGGAATAAGAAAGAAGGGGGAAAAAAAACCATGTTTGGATAGAATTTTTTTTTAAAAAAAAATAACTTCTGTGAAAAAACCACGTTGTGATTGAAGTTGAAAAAAATTGGCTTATCCTATGGGTGTTGTTGGATTCGGTTGGCTCTAAATGATTTTAAAATTTTTGTTACTCTCGCTTATCATCTCTCCTAACCGTGCACTAAGGAGACTGCTCTTCTCTTCGACCTCTGCTTCTTCTCTTTGGATTGAACTTGTGTTTTTGCCACTGTCGCTGTCCGTTTTCTCACCAGATCTGTTTATTTGTGGGTTCCGTTGTTGTCACTTATTGTTTGCCTGAGGCTTGTCGTCACTTCTTGGTCGCCACCTATTTGCTCTCATTATCTACTTGCAGCAATGTTTTGGTGGTTCTTTTATTCTTCCTTCCAGATTTAGAGGGTCTGAGACATATGAAATTAATGGTGCCTATAATGACTGAAGAAGCCGAAGAAGTTGAAGTAGAAGAAGAGACGCCCAAAATTTAAAAGCTCTATCAATTACTGTCATGGCAATATTACGTGTATGAATAAATTTGAAAACCTGATGAAATATTACCGCTCTTGCCGCTAATTTTATATTAATAAATGGGTTAAGGCACAACTGTACTTATGAAGTTTTCACGCAGGAGTAATTGCTATTTTAAAGTTTTTTTTTACACAATGGGCCCTAATGTTTTTCAATTTGGTACATTGTCACCCTGCCATCCATGTCGATCAGTAAATTAGATTTGACCGATAAGATAGTAGTGCCAGCAGCCACATGGCATTTTTTAAAAATTAAAAAACAGAAAAGAAAATCGCACCCACGTCATCAGATCTGAAATCTACCCTACTTCTTCTTTATTGGAACCTTCTTTGTCCCAAACAGAACAAGGAGTAGAGAAACGAAATCAAGAACACAAGTTAAGAACAAGATATCAAATAAAACTAGCAAATAATAAGAGATCTAAAACTAGAACAAGATCAAAAATGAAAAACTATCACCAGCGTCGATCAAACATGAAACAAAAACGAAATCTTTTCTAGGACAAAATCAAAAATGAAAATCTTTTCTACGACAAGGCCATCGAACTAGAAACGAAACATTTTGAACCAGAAAACGCAAAAATTAAGACAAAAATACAAATCAAACTTGAACACGTTCGCGTGAGACACCAACACGAAACTCGCAACCTCAATATGAAACAATCTATGTAATTATGGTAAAACTAGGAAGTCAATATACTTTATTATATATAAATGTTGATGGGTCCATTTTGTACTCTGCTTTTGTCTTGTTTTAGCTCTCAATTTAAACTAAATATGGAATAAACAATAGTTGGAAAAAAGAATATATTGCTTCATTGAGTACTGTAAGTGTTTTGTGGAGAAATGGTTTGTTACAACCGGTCATAGATGAGGAAAGGATTAAAAAGCTGGTTCGTGCTTCAACTAAAGGCAAACAAAATTACAAGGAATTTGACTGTGGACGGATGAAGTGGCTGTTATTTACTTTAACTGCGGGCAGACGAAAAATCAGAAAGGAAAATTAAATATATAATAGATAATCACACACACACATTAATAAATATATTATTTAAATTATTATTAAATATAGTATTCAATTTACTTTTTTAAAATTGTAGTTATTTATTAATATGGAAAAATTAATTCATATATAACAATTATTTCTTTCTATTATATTTATTTTTGAAAAATTAGTTGTGATAATAAATTTAAATATAAATTTAAAATATTTTATTATCATTATATATTATATTATAATTTGTATCTATATACCATATAATTTTTAAATTTTATTTATTAATTTTTTATTTTTATTTTTAAATTAGAATAATTAAGTATACAAGTTAAATTGCTATTAATAATATACAAATAATTCAAAATAATAAATTATTTTAAATTATAATTTTTAAATTATTTATTTATAGCATAATAAATTATTAAATAAATTATATATAAATATATCATAAATAATAAAATTAAATTAAAAATAATTTGTGATGAAATTAGCTGCAGAGTTATGACATAAAGCTTTGTGATGAAATTTTTATTGCAATTCCTCACTAAATTGGAATAAAATATCCCGAAAATTAGTGACAAAATTTTTTGTCACTAATTTGTTTAGTGACAGAACATTCCGTTGCTAAATTTCATCGCTAATTTAGTAACAAAAATTTATTTTGTCACTAAATTTCATCTCTAATTCACCATTTTTTTGTTTTTTGTAGTGTTCGGAGAATGAGAGAAAAGTGAACCTACTGTTTATATTATATGACATTTATTCATAATGTTATTTGCCATTATATTTTGTGTCTCGGCTCTCAGGAATTTGAGATGAAATATGCTACTTACAATTCATCATAATCTATTAATAATACGGCTTTATATATAGATTTTAGATGTGACACATTGATAGATATTGCAAGTTGTATACAATCTTTAATTTTCAGTTACAATAAGCTCTATATATTGGTCATATACCTCATGTTGGGTAAGAATAAGCCTTGGATACAATTTTTAATGCATGTATTAAAATAATAAGACCATTCATGCATGTTGCCGTATAAAGAATGGTCTTATTAATTAAGTACCAACTATTAAAAATTAATTTTGGTATGGGGTCACTGATTTGTGTTCTCCCAGTCTTGTCATAAGCTTCACAATAACAATAAACAAAGGTTAATCTATCCTTTCATTGTTCTAACTGCTAAGGTTCCGTTTGCTTATTAGAAAGAAATTGATGAAATGAAATGAAAAAATAAAAGTAAAAATAAGATGATCAAAGGGGATAGGTTAACACATCCAAAAGACAAAGGGGTAATTTAGTTTATGAGGTCAGGAATCATGATTCATGAGATTTTGAAAGGTGTGATGATTTTCATATTTATAGTAATATATTAATGAGTTTAATCATACTTATCATGGGGGTTAAGGTAATTTAATTTATTTTTATCTTAATTTTTTCATTCCATTCCTTTCCAGTAACTAAACATGACCTAAATGCAATTAATATCACTAAATGATGAGAAGATTAAAGACGCAACAAAATTTCAATATCCTGCAATGGAATATATTTATGGTGCAGATTGAGCACTTGTTCTCTACTTCTTTGTTGTTTTGGGCGTGTTTGCCTTGTTTGTCATATATATATAGAGTTAGTAATTTAAGTGACCTAAATTCATTTGGGCTTGGGACAGCCCAAATACTTACATTTTTATTTAATTTCTATTTAAAATTAATCATTTTATTGTATAAAAATATAAAATATATTTTTGGGATAGTTAAATGATTCAACTTTTTTTAAAAAAATATGTAGGAGTTAAAATTTTAAAATCAATATCAAAATACATTTTAAATACTATTTTGAGATATTTTAAAATTACAAATAATAAAATATGAAAATATAAATGTTTTAATTTTTAAAAAATATCAATAATGATGCACTCAAATATGGTATTTAGTATAAAATGACCTAAAATTTAAAGAATTAATTAATTTTTTTATGCTTTATATACTTTTTAAAAATAGTTCTCTTTATATTGGTCTTGGTCTGATTTTTTTCAGGCATATTCAAGACATTAAAAAACTATTATTTTATGAAGCCCAGCCTTGAATTTTTTATGCATATTCAACTTGGCCCATCTAGCTTAACCTGAATTATCGGCTCTACATATATTATATGTTATGTTATGTTATGTTATATTGATTATGCCTAAATTCCTATGGCTCATTATAATTCTTTTTAATCATTGTTTTGGTTAAAATAAACCATATCTTTGATTAAGATTTAAGAAGATATTGATTATCAGTCAAGTTAATAATTTTTTTAGCTTTTCAATATACATACACATTAAATTTGGTGAATTAATGACAATTTAATGGCATGATGGGAAGAAAATAAAATCTTGAAATTAAAAGAGAGGTTTGTGTAACATGACTTTCAATTTTAGGAGATGTTTTGTAAGCTTTTAAAATAGATAAGAGGTCTTTAATTAAAACTTCAAGGAGATGAGAGTTGGGAGTGATGTGCTCAGACATCAACAATTTTTTGAACCAGGAAATAGAAAAGTTGGAAATGAACAATAATACTTTAACATATTTTATATATTTGTTAGTCAATGAATGAGGAAATTAAAATACATATTAAGGAGTACATGTTGGTACATTGCCAAAGACTTGGGGCTTGATGTTCTTACAAGTAGCGATTGCAGGAGTCCCATTGAATTTGAGATTAATATTAGTGAGTTTCACCTTCTCACATGGTACACTACTACTACAAATCAAAATTATTCCCTTCTTTGTTGTTGATGTGCCTCTAATATTCTTGAAGGAGACTCTGCTTATTTTTACTTTTGATGGAGTCTGCAGCAGCTCAAAATGCACAAAAGAATGAAAGAAGTCGTTAGAAATATGTAGCAACATCTTAAAAAATACAATACGCCAAAAAGGAAGAGAACTAGATACCTGTTTTGAGCATTGGTTCCACGGACAATATTCTTGATCTATAATGATAGGATTGGTGACATTGATCATGACAAGATTCTCAAAGCGCAAGCCAGAGACTGGGATATTTATTGAAGTGCCAGGCCAAGTTTTGATTCTCACACCATTATCAGTGTTTTTAAAAGTGCAATTCTTCACTATGAAACCTTCAACAGGTTCTTCATTTTCATATTTTCCAAGGCTTCCAACACTAATGCCATGGCCAGGTCCACACGTCACATTCTCAACACTCACCTGTCTACTTCCATCACCCAATGAAATACAATCATCTCCTGTTCCAATGTTTGAGTTAAGTATTTTCACTTTTGTTGATCTTCCAATGTGGATTCCATCTGTATTCAAACTATCTGCCGGAGCCTCAATGGAGAATTCATTGAATGTAATGTTATGGCACCCTAGAACATTCACATGGAAATGTTTGCTGTTTTTGGATGTTATGTGACGGATGACTGAATTTTTCATGAAGCTGAAACCGAAATTCTGGAAGGGGTTTAAAAGAAAGTTAGATTTTAAAAGATCTGTGCCTCATTGATTTAGGGTTTATTAGTTTATTATTAAAAGACACTAAATCAATCTAGTTTTCTTTCTCTTTCTCTTAACCTTTTTTTTAAACCGTATGAGAAAATTGACTTGTTAATTTTGTGATTCTTCTATTAAAACATATACTTTTATATTATTATTATTTAAAAATTCTACACTTGTTATGTTTTAATAAATAATTTCAAAAAATGATGATAAAAGGAATACAACACATGTTTGTGAATTTTAGAAATGAGCATAACTTAAATTATTACTTACCATTGAAAGCTTCTTGCAATTCCAAGTTTTAGCACAATTATTTTTGTTCCAAGCTATTGAACCTTGACCATCAAAAGTGGCACCACCAGATAAGGTAAAGGAATCAATGTATCCAAATCTAAGCCATTGGGAATCTCCATTGAATTGATTAGGGTTTTCTGGTGCTACAATGTTGCCTTCAATGTGAAGCTCAATAGGAGCCTTGCAAGGATCATTTAGTTCTATTTGTCTCAAATTGTATGTACTTTTTGGCACAAAAACTTTACTTGCACTTGTCGACGCACATGCCACTTCCCATGCTCTCTCTAAGCTCTTCTCAACATTAATCAACAAAGCCAAATATATTTTAATTAAATATATTAATAAAAAAAATGTTGGAGGCATAATTACATGACACAATAAATGTGGCAAAATTTATTTTTCCTCACATATCAATCATAAAATTTGTAATACAACTTTTGTGTTGGAAATTTAGTGAATATATATGTCAAAAAATTTATTTGCAATAGGACTATTTGTCACAAAATTTGTTAAGTATTAATTTATTGTTAGAAAATTCATTTTTTTGTAGTAAACTTTCAAACTAGGAATGCAATATTTAAATAAATACTCACCGAGGTCAGATCTCCATTGGGTGCTCCGCCATATTTTCTTATATCAAAAACAGTAGGTTGAGCCAGGATTGAAGATGCTTGTAGTAAAAATAAAGCAGAAATATAAATCATACTCAAATTTGCGTCCATATTTTGTTCTTCTTTGAATTCTAGATAGATCTTTAATTTTTCCCCCCTCTCTTGTTCAGGTAGAACAAATGTCTGCTAGAGTTGTATAAGATAGTGAAACCCCATTAGACAAAGAGCTATTTATATTGTTTGTGGCAAAACTGAAAAATGACACATAATAGCCAAGTAATGAAGTTATAAACCTCTTGTTCTTTTTGCTAAAACAAGCTTATAACCAAAGCCCGTTTATTTAACAATTATAATTCACATTTGGGATGGGATGATTAAAATTTTCCCAAATTTGGAGATTTTGTTCAAACCAAGCTTATGGTAACAAACTGTAGACTTGAACACAAACTGTCATCGTCCACTTTAGCAAGATCATTTCTTTGGGAATTCAAATATTGTTACCGGAAAATTCATTTTGTGAAATTTTTTCCTCAACAATATACTACTCTGGTGCTTATAGGTGTTTGATTAATCATATCTGCACACTTTTCAAAAAAAAAATTTGGTTAAGCTGCAAATCTACCCATAAAGAATTCTACAATGAGCTACTGGTATCCTTAACACAAGTATGGTGCAATTTTAAGTAAGTATTGTGGGTCCTACCTATTATGCCCCATGTAAATGGATTAGAGGCAAAAATATCCATAAAGTAATACACTTTGGTTCAATTTTTCCCATCAATCCTATAAACAATACAAAAATCCCTAATCCTTAATAAAGGTACATGTTATCAAACGTAGACCATGATGATATTTTATTTGACTCAAAATCCAAACATATATAGAAATATATGTGTTCAAATTTGTTCTAATTGATAGAAATTAACCCTAGGCACAACATATTATTTTGTCACACATCATATCCACATAAACACACTTCGGATTTAAAACTCATGTGGAAGCTACCCCAACTCCTGCCTTCTCTTTGCTACTCAAGTTTGCTTAAACCCTCTTTCCTCCCGTTCTAGCTGTGAAGTGTAATGAAATAAAATATTGTGGTTAAGGTTGTGCTAGTTAGGATAGATTTGAACACATGTAATTCCTCATTTACACTCCAAGTCAAAAAATTTCAATTATTGACATTCACTATCAATTGATTTTTGACAACATATGTATTTGTTTTATATTTTAAAATTGTCTTTTAGGTTTTATGCGAAAAATTGCTCTATAGAATAATACATTATAGATATATTTGCTCTTAGTCCATTTATACATGGCATAATGGGTGGGACCTACAATCTTTACTTGACGGGTTATGCATCGTATATGCACTCAAAGGTGTCCATAAGAAAATTTAATAAGGAATATTTAATTATGCAGAGGTGATATTCAAATATATAAAAGAAAATTGCATTTCATTGAAGAGCAATCATATATCTTGGAAGAACATTCATAGATGTCTATAAGGGATTTTAACAAGGAATATTTGAATACATAGAAGTGATATTTAAATATATAAAAGAAAATTGCATTTCGTTGAAGAGCAATCGCATATCAGGAAAGAAATATCGCATATACATCCAAAAGTACCTATAAGGGATTTTATTAAGGGATATTTGAGTATGCAGAAGTGATATTCAAATATATGGAAGAAAATTATATTTCATTGAAGAACAATCACATATTATGAATGAAATATAGCATATGCATCCAAAGGTGTCCAAGAGATTTTGATAAGGGATATTCAAATATGCAGAAGTAATATTCAAATATATAAAAAAATTATATGTTATTGAAGATCAATCGTATATCGTGGAAGAAACATCTCATATGCTTCAAATGTACTTCAAGGCTCAATAAATTACCACTAAAGGACCTTGTATTAAACATTGACATGAAATTATTGATAGCAAAAGACCTTATGACATATTGATAGTGAAAAACCTTGTTCAACTTTTTTTAATCATAAGGGCAATCTGGACATTTTAAGCTTTGAATTAATGCCAGCAAAGGACCTCCTCTTAGAAATTTTCTAGATTCCTCTCCACAATTAAATTTTTGGTTAGGTAGGTTTTAGCAATTTTTCCTCTTTTTTTTAAAGGTACTACGTTGCCACGTTGGGCAAGGGGAACTTAATAAATATGATAGTAGGTGTGTATTTCATTTATGTGCATATAAATATAAATAGTTTCAGATGTACATGTACGTAAGTGTATATTTTTTTATTGATAAAAAGGCAAGCTGAAGCCTGAGAAGAACAATTATATCAAACTACAAAACAGAGAAAAACAAAAACTCTATATAATCCTATTTAAGTCTTCTAGATATATAAAGAAAACATCCTATAGGAATTTCAGGGCACAAAGAAATTTCATTGTCTGTACTGTGACTGTGAGCTCCTTTAATTCAGCCATGAAATCTGCACACGTGATGATTTCTAAGGAGCCGGAAAAAAGCTGGATTTTGCATTATCCTAAACTCTTACATGTCTCAAGCCCATTTTTGATAGCCCAGATTTCACCTTCACTATCGATTGTGGGCCAAGTTTCCTTTAGAAACCCAAAATGCATTCTTTGTCGGAATTCCTTGGCAAGCTGTCCACTTTTGTGAGTTGAGAGATAACCTTTTTCTCCAAAAAGACATAATGTGAAACGTCGGAGTAATTGACATTTGAGTCTTTTGCTGCAACAGTAGCTGGAAACGCCATGCTTTTTATCGTTTTTTGTGGCTGATAAGTCAACCTTTCACATATTTGGCATTCGAAATAGATGAGCTAGTAGTTGGTTATTTGAAAAAGAATAAGCTTTCCATTAATTTTAGGATGAAAAAGTCATTATTTGATAAGCTGAAGATATTTCATTGAAATATAGAGCATGGCTTCTTTCATTAACATGTTAGTATGGAAAGTAGCTTTCATTTCCCATGTATAATCACAAAGTATTATAACTTGAACAAGCAGAGAATTATGTGATAAATCAACAACTCTCCTAAACTTAAGAAACTAAATCATTTGAACTTTACAAAATTGTGGTCCCATATATAAACAATAAGGTAACATTACTTAAAAAAAGTACTTAAACCAAATCAATCATTAAACCAGTCAAGATACTAATTTAAAGATTAATAGTCCAAACTATAATCGAGCTGTGATTAAATTAGTTATAAACAAAGCATTTTATTAACTCGATCAAAACACTATTTTAATGATTTACCAATTTAACCAGACGAGTTAACTTGAATTTTCATACTATGCTTAAAAGTACTAAAAAGCTCATCTAAACATTAAGGATCTTTGATTAATTGACAGTTAGCTAGTTAGCTTCATGACAAGATACAAACAGTACTCTAAAATATAAACAAAAGTCCAAAAACCTTGGCTGCAACAGTAGCTACATTGACACAACAATTATCATGAGGAACAAGTTAAGAAACTTCAATCATGAGCACTATCCATTTAAATGATCTGAGCGATGCTTTGCATGGTTGGTCGAGATGAAGGGTTTGTCTGTAAAAATGAAAGAGCAAGATCAGCAATCACAATCACTTTCTTCAACTTTTGCTACTTTGTATGGGGTGACAGACGTGGATCTAGAATCTTATTGAAGTTGATGATCTGAACATCAAAGGATTGTATGTGGGAAATTAGATCCCCAGGGTGCTTTCCCATGATAATCTCTCTGGTGATGAGAAGAATCATCGTTTTTTTTTTAAAAAAAAAAAATTCGTTCATTTAACACGAAGGGGCAATTCAGTCTTTTGGTTAGAGTGTTTTTCAAATGTTAAAATCAGTTTGGTCCTTAAAATTGTTTTGGTCCTTTACAACAATTTGCCTCTTAAAGAGGTTTGTTTAAGCAATTCTCCCTAATAACTAATAAAAAATGTTTTATATTTCAAACCAAAAGTAGTTGCACAACCAACATTAGAATTTTTTTTGTTCCATATTTGTGATAGGTCATTTCAATTTTCATATAATTGACATTTGAGCCTTTTTGCCGTATCATTAATCGGAATAGTCATGCTTTTCATCAATTTTGTGATAGAAAAGTCAACCTTTCGTACATATGATACATTTTAAGTCATTGAAAGCAACTACTGGAAGAGACAAGTTATTTCATGATCTGTAGTTCTTTGAAATAGATAAGCTTTCCATTAAATTGTATGATGAAAAATTCATTATTTCACACAGTTGAATCGGCCTTTCCATTAAAATAAAGAAAACTACCTCGTCATTTCAACTTTACAAAATGATGGTTCCAAATACAAACCAGAAAGTAACATTACTTAGAAGTACCAAAAGATTCAGCTTAACACGCCAAGAGGTACAGAGACTAAACATTAACCAAAAATCTTGGCTGCTGCAATAGCAGATACATTGACACAACAATAATTATTATGAACAAGTTAACAAACTTCAATTATGAGCACCATCCATTTAAATCATCTGAGCGATGCTTTGCATGGTTGGTCGAGATGAAGGGTTTGTCTGTAAACATGAAAGAGCAAGATCTGCAATCAAAGTCACTTCCTTCAGCCTTTTCTGCTTTGTAGGAGGTGACAGACGAGGATCTAGAATCTCATTGAAGTTTATGCTTTGAGCATCAACGGATTGTATGTGGGAAATTAAATCACCGGGATGCTTTCCCATGATAATCTCAAAAGCCAATACACCAAAGCTAAACACATCACATTTCTCAGATACTGCCATTGTATATGCTAGTTCTGCATCATTTAGAATCAACTGATCTCATTTGACACAACCTTGAGTGAATCACAATGACAGAACTTTGTTTTCCTTAGAAATCAAGTCTTCAAAATTAGTTTTGTTTACTTCGACACAACCAAATAAAAAAATAAAATTAAAAAAAAATAATTTCACGCAGATGAATTTGGATGACTAAGAAATAAACATGAGAACTAGAAAGCCCAAGTCCAAATTTATGAGAATATTAAGACAACATATCATCTAGACATTGTTTAATACTGAATTTACCTGGAGCAGCATACCCACGTGTGCCAGCAAATGTTGTCCAAATTGATGATGAGCTAGCCTTCAGGAATCTTGCTGTGCCAAAGTCTGAGACATGGGCTTCAAGATTTGCGGACAATAATATATTATTGCTTGATATGTCTCTATGAATAATTGGTGGATCACAATCATGATGCATATAAGATAAAGCTTGTGCTACACCTTTGACAACATCCACCCTTTTAGGCCAATCTAACTCTAATGCCTTTGTGTCATTTTTCAGAAAATCAGCTAAAGTCCCTCCTTCCATGTACTCATAAACAGCAAAAGTGTGTGATCCTTGTGAGCAAAATCCATAGAGCTTCACAATGTTTCGATGGCGGATTTCTGTCATGGCTTTGATTTCACTCTTGAAGGATTTTAAACTTTCCATGTCTATGTCATCTTCTTCACATCTAAACTTCTTTACAGCAAATTGTTCACCTCCTTGCATGACCATTTTGTAAACTTTTCCAGAAGATCCTTCCCCAACACAATACTTGCCATCAAAGTTCTCTGTTGCTTCAATAATGTCTTTATACAGATCTTTCCCATCAAATTGACAGACTGAAAATGGACTTTCTTTCTTGGTTCCTGAATTCTGTTCTAAAACTCTTGAGTTTTCCTTTGAACAAATAAAAAAAATCCCAACTAACACCAATGTAACAAGTAGTGCACCTGCTAAAGAAGCAAGAATAGATATCACAACTTTCTCTTTGGTGCTTCCCATGTGTGATATTGAAACATTGCAAGGTCTCAAACCTTGGATTCTCCCACATAAATCTTTGTTATTACTCAAATCTAATGGATAAGAAGAATTAAATATGCCACTATTTGGGGCAGGACCCTCCAAATTGTTGTAAGAGAGGTTGATGCTTGACAAGCTCAACATTGTACTAAGGGAATCAGGGATAAAACCTGATAGATTGTTATGAGACAGATTCAGACTTATCAAGTTGTCAAGCTTAATAAGGTCCACAGGGATTTCTCCAGAAAGTGAATTAAAACTCAAGTCCAAGAAATCTTCCAAGGAGTCAAGATTCCCAATTTGATATGGGATAGTGCCATTGAAGTCATTATGACTCAAATTTAAATTGACAAGCTTGTAGCAATTCCCTATGTGATAAGGAATGGATCCGCTTAGCCTGTTCATTGACAGGTCTAATGACTCTAAATTAGATAGACTTCCAAAGCTTGTAGGCATCAAACCTGAAATATTGTTTCTGTTTAACTTCAGAAGGTATAACATGGAGGCATTTCTGATTTGTGGTGGAATCTCACCAGATATTTGGTTTGATGATAGGTCAAGCTTTTGCAACTTTTTCAACTGAAATATCTCAGCAGGAATATTTCCACCAATTGAATTTCCAGCCATGATCAGAGCTTCTAAGCTTGGGCAGGCACCCCAATTTGCAGAGAGATTACCCTGCACTCTGTTGAAGCTGATGTCAACATAAGTGAGATTAGGATGAGCACCAAAATCCTGATCTGCATAACCTGTCAACTGATTATTTTGAAGTTGAACTCTGTATAATGATGAACAGTTTCTCAAACTTGGTGGAATTGAACCAGAGAGACCATTATAGGCTGCAGTGAAATTGACAAGCTTCCCACCTTTGCACACTTGAGGCGGTAAATGGCCAGTGAAATTGTTATAAGATAGATGAACAACAATCAAAGATGATACATTTCCAAACTCTTGTGGCAAATCACCGTGTAACAGTCTGTTTGGATTGCCTCATTAATCGATTTTTGAGGCAAAAAATCGATTAATATGAAAAGTTAGCCAAACAGTCGAAAATCATCAAAAATCGATTATGGGTCAGGACGCGCGTTTTTCTATAAGTACTCTCCATCAGCTTTTGCAGAACGTTTATCAAAAAGCGTTGGGAAAAATTACAAAGAAAGGCCCAAGAAAAAATTACAAAGGAAACACATAATTTAATAAAAATAAAATTAAACTCTCTTCTTTCTCTTTTTTTTCCTTAATAAAATTTAAACTTTGTATATTTAAAAAATTAATATTTGATATTTAAAAATTAAATTATATAGTAATTTATACAGTTAAAAATTAATTCTGATTAAATTATCCAAACATCTTTAATTTTGTTAAAATTAATTTTAAAAAAACAGTATCCAAACAGATTACGTTATAACATAATCAATTATGATTAAAATCTACCACTTAATCAATTATTTTCATAATCTATTATACCCAACTGAAATTCAAACAGACCCTAAATTGTTACGGTGAAAGCGAACATCAGTTAGATTGGTCAATCTACCAAAACTAGGCGGAATTATGCCTGAGAGATTGTTTAGAGCCATTGAGAGAACACTTAGATTTGTACAGTGACCAAGAGATTGTGGTATAGACCCAGAAAAGTTGTTTCCTTCTAGAGATAGGTATTGGAGCTTGGAGAGCATTCCAATGCTTTGTGGTATACTTCCACTGAGTTTATTATATTGAAGATTGAGAACGAGAAGATTGGAAATGCCGAAAAGTTCAAGTTTTCGATGGTACCTTCTAGACCAGTACTGTTCAAGTTTAGTTCAATGATGCTACCTGAAGAGTCACAATTGATTCCACGCCATGAACATAGGGCTTGAGCTTCACTGGAGTTAGCTTGTGATGGAGTGACCCATGAATCCAAAATTGGTTGGTAATTTGGAAGACTTTGTTTCCATTTGAGAAGAGCTTCAGATTCTGTAAGTGCTGCCGAAGCGATAGGGCATAGTGGCCAAAAAACTATGCAAGTAATAAGAGGAATTAGAAATAAGGGAAAGATTTTATGTTGGGCCATGTTTGTGAATGCGCATGAATGTTCAAAATCAAACATGACCTGAAAGGAAGGAAGGATGAAGGTGGAGTGAAGCTACAGTTGAGAAGAAATGGAAGGGAGCTCAGTGACGGCACTATACCTCCAAGGCACAGATCAGCAAAACGGCAAGAGAGAAGAAGACTCTAGACCTCATCATGCATGACACCACATGAATAGTGTGGAGGAACAGAGGAGGAAAGTAGTTAGAGTATGGTGAGGGAGACTGGAAATTGAGAGAGAGAGAGAGAGAGAGAGAGAGAGAGAGACAGAGAAGAGGGATGGGTGAGATTTTGGCTATTATTTTACCTTTGGCTGTTGCTTGCGGACTCGCTTCTCTCCTTTGAGAGAAGCCTCAACCGCCTCTCCTAAAGCTTAATTTGAATCATTTAAATTTAATTTAAATGATTAAAATTTTTTTTATTTTTTATTTATCTTTTTAAAAAAAAAATATGTAAAAATTATAAAAATATTTTAATAAATATACTTATTAATCTCAGAGTCCAAATTTAATATAAATTATCTAAATTTAATATTAAAATCTTTTAATAAATTTGTTATTTTATTCAGAATATATTTACACTGTTCATAATATATCTAAAAAGTTAATCTAAATTTTTATATTAAATTTAAATCATCTATATTAAATTTAAACTGTCAAATTGATAAGTATATTTATTAAAAATTTTTATAGTTTTTATATTTTTTTATTTTAAAAATATAAAAAGATAAAAATATTAATTTTAAATCATTCAAAATTAATAGGAACGGTCTAATTTTTACATCGAAAGAGGGGCAGAGGAGGCTTTTGAGAAGCCGAATCCCTTGCTTAGAGTCATCCGTGACTGCACTTAGAGTGTGTTTGGATAGGGGAAAAAATCGATTTTCCCCCTCCAAAATCGATTATTTCAGTAAATTAGCCAAACGGTCAGAAAAGGTGAAAATCGATTTTGACCCCATACGCGCGTTTTACCGTAAGCTACTTCGATCAGCTTCCTGATAAACATTTGTAAAAATGTTGGGAAAAATTACAAAAACAAGCCCAGGAAAAAATTACAAAAAAAGCACATAATTTAATAAAAATAAATTAAACTCTCTTCTTTTTCCTTTTTTTTCCTTGATAAAATTTAAACTTTGTATATTTAAAAAATTAATATTTGATATTTAAAAATTAAATTATATAGTAATTTATATAGGTAAAAATTAATTTTGATTAAATTATCCAAATATATTCAATTCTGTTAAAATCAATTTTAGAAAAACAGTATCCAAACAAATTCCGTTATAACATAATCAATTATGATTAAAATCTACTACTTAATCAATTATTTTCATAATATATTATACCCAACTGAAATCCAAACGGACCCTTATAAAGTGGGAGAGGATGAGAGAGAGGAAAATCGAAGGGGAAATGACTAAACAGCCCGTCTTAAAAGAGAAACGGGGGAAGGAAATATTTGGAGAATTTAAGTACCTTGAAAAAAATTAAATTAATACTCATCCAAGATATTTTTAACAAAATTATGCATATTAATTTAATAAAAAATTATTTATATTAATAAATTTTATTAAATATAGTTTACAATTTTATTTTTAAAATATAAATATAAATTTTGAAACTACTATTCATTTAATATAATATTATTTGTATAACATTAAAGAGAGAAAAATATAATAAAAAGAAAAAAAATAATATTAAAATAAATATAATTAATAAAGCATTATTTCCGTTAAAGTGTCAAATTACCTCTAAAAATATCCTATAAATGATAGTTAGATTTGACCATTTTTTAAAAGAAATAGATTAAAAATATACATTTAAAAAATGAATATTCCAAAATTTTAATTACATATAAGACATTTAAATTTTACATATAATTATCATACTTTAAGTAAAATTTTTATCTGTAATTGTTTAAACTTATATTTATAACTTTTTTTAAAAAAATTGTCATATAACCTAAATATTATTAATTCAATCTTTTATGACTAAATTCATTCTCTCTTTTATTTTGTTCCTTATATATGGTAGAGTTGTGAGATATTCAAATATCAAGTCTGGAATTTCAACCCGATACACCTATGGAAATTTAATATGCATTTCTAAACATTTAAATTCTTAAAATATAGAAAATTAATCACCACATTCTAACACCAAGCATTCATGTATATAATTGTCATAATAATAATAATGATAATAATAATAATGTGCCATTACATTCCTCCCTGTTCCCCGTATTTAAATGTGCACTAACCTCATGTCTCTCAATCATTACGCTTGAGTTGTTACTACTTTTATCATTAATTGGAATGGCCTTTCGAAAAGTAGACCTTCAACTCACACACACATACAATCAGCTTCAATGCATATAAATTCACCCAAAATTCAAGCTATAAATAGTACGGTGGGTATGACAGAATAAAAAATTCTATAACCACTAGTAAATTGTTTATATTTTAAACTAAAATTAATAAAAAATAATTTATATTCTGGGCCCGAGGAAGTGTGTCATGATCTATTTGACATTTGAAAAAGATTATTTCATACTCTCTCCATCCTAAATTATAAAATAATTTAGTCCAAAAAATTATAAAATAATTTGAGATAAGATTACTTATATCAATAAAACACAATAATACTCCCTTCATTTAAAAATATAAGATATTTTTTGAGAAGTTGGATGCTAAAAAATATAAGGTATTTTTAGTCTTTTAAGGTGTAATCATTGCTTTTTTTTCAAAAGTACCCACATTGATAATAATTTTATATTTATTATAAGGTGTTTAATAGGGGTAAATATGAAAAAATAAGGTTAGTTAAAAAGTAAGTAACTATTTATTGGGGGTGAGGTTCAGTTAAAAATACCTTATATTTTTAAACGAAGGGAGCAATACTTTACAAATTTATTTTTCTTAACAAAACTATAAGCTTTTAAAAATATTTTTACATATTTAATTATTATGTTATAATATTATTTTAATCTTTCTCCATTTAAAAGCTAATATTAAAAAAGTATCATTAATGAAACTTCATTTCTCTCAAATTATTATATCTTTTGGAACAAAAAATTCTTCCAAAATTTTCTTATAGTTGGAGATAGAAAAGTAGACAATTGAATTTGTCTCTCTGTTGAAATATAAAGCTTAGTTTTTCAAGTGGCTCCGGGGAGACGACATTGTCTTGAGGGGGTGCATCACTTTGAGAAAAATTTCTTGTGGGGATGTAAATTTTATAACTTTACACATCTTTTTATTTTATATCTTTAAATTAAATAAAAAATATTTCAATTCAAAATTTTATTTGGTATTCCCTCCCTCCCAAAATTATAAGGTCATTTGATATAAGTTACGTATATCAATGAAATATAATAATAATACTTTACAAACTTACTATTTCAAAACAAAATTGTGAATTCTAAAAATGCCCCTAACACCTTAATCATTATAATACAATATTATTTTAATTCTCTTTTCATTTAAAGGATAATAGTGAAAAAGTATTATCAATGAAATTTTATTTTTCTCAAACTGTCTTATATTTTAAGACAAAAATTTTTTTTAAAATTATCTTATAATTTGAGTCAGATGGAAGTATATAATATTTTAATGATAAAAAAAAATATGATAAACATGTTTACATGAAAAACTATATCCACCAGTTCAATATAATTTTTCAAAAAGAAAAATTATTATCAATGTATTTATGATATTACAATTTTAGTTCTAATTTAATTATTATTTTTAAAAAATTTTTATTTTTTATTGCTCACAAGTTTCCTCTTTTTAAAAGAAAATTGAGGCACAACTAAGTATTAAATGTAGGAACCTCTTTTAAAAAAAATTTGAACCTTCGTTCATCACTTTGTGATGAACTAACCTTTTGCGTTAAACCTATCCCTTGAGTCCGAGACTAACTAAC